TCGGGGCTGGGGGGCCTCCCAGGGGCACCAGGGTGGGGGACAGGCCGCGGCCAGCGTCCCACAGAGCGGAGCAGAGCAGCGCCCAGGCGGCGGCTTCTCTGGCCACTGTTTCTGCCTGTTGTCGGGGCGGCTTCCCGGACTCTGACGGCGCTGGGCTCCTCCGGGGCGCGGGGTGGGGCATGGAATTCAGGGCCGTGAACTTGGGTGGGAGCTACTGCACCTTTGTCGTCAAGACTCCAACCCAGCAGCAGCCCTGCAGGGATGTGCGGGTGTTCGCCGTGGTGGCGGCACCTGGGACTGTCACCCGCATCCCGTGGTAGATTTGGGGGGACATCGGTCCCCCATCCTCATGAGGCCGCCTTTCCTCTTGTTGGTTAATACCTTAATGAAGAGGCCACCTCACTGCGTACTTGTTTTAAAATATTTTGGGTCCTAGTGGATTTCGCTCAGTGGAGAGAGCATCGGTGGCCTGGGGGACCCATGTGCCAGGTTGGATTCCCGTCAAGGGCAGGCATGTACTTACCTCATTACAGGCTGGAGCCCGGGTCCTGGCCGGGATGTGTCTGGGAGGCAACCAATTGGTGTGTCTCTCTCACATCATGTTTCTCTCTGTCTCTCCCCTTTCCCTCCCACTCTCTCTCTAAAAATCAATGGAAAAAATATCCTTGGGTGAGGATTAACAACAACAAAATATTTTTGTAACTGTATTTTCAAACAATTGTCTCCCCTTGAAATCTAGAGTATTATATTTAGGCTAGAGGCCTGATGAACAAAATCCATGCAAGAGTAGGCCTTCCTTCCCCCGGCTGCCGGCACCGCTTCCCTCTGGCACCCAGGACCCGGGCTTCCCTCGCAGCCCTGGCTTCATCTGGAAGGTCATCTGGAAGGACGTCCAGTCTAATTAGCATATTACACTTTTATTATTATAGACTAGAGGCCTGGTGCACGGATTCATGCACCGGTGGGGTCCCTCGGCCTGGCCTGCAGGGATCTGGCTGAAACCAGCTCTCTGACATCCCCCGAGGGTTCCCGGATTGTGAGAGGGTGCATGATCGATCGGGGCCGGGGAGGGACCGCGGGAGGGCTCCAGGGCATGTCTGGCCTACATGCTCAGTCCCATTCGGCTGGACCCCAGCAGCAAGCTAACCTACCGGTCAGAGCATCTGCCCCCTGGTGGTCAGTGCACATCATAGCAACTGGTCAAACAGTTGAACGACAGTCAGATAAATGGTCAGACACTTAGCATATTAGGCTTTTATTATATAGGATACCTGTTTCTAAGAAGTGTCTTATGGATTTCCAGTGCCCAGAGAGGTCCAGGCCCACAGCAGGTTGGGGTCCCCAGTTCACGGTCTCCGGTGGCGGGAGGGGTTGCAGATGAAGTTGTCCAGAGGGAGGCTGCTAAAGGCTACAGTGGACAGAAGTCCAGGGAATTTTCTGGCCCCATAACAGCTGGGGAAATTGATTTCTTACCACCCCTTTCATAGTAGGCTCCCAGGAGGGAGGGGCAGGGTTCCCCCAGGAGAGTGGTGGGGGCGGGCAGGGCAAGGTCCCCCAGGGGAAGCGGCCTCAGAATGTAGGAGGAAGTACGGTGGGCACTGGTCTGCATGAATCCATGCCATCCAAGTCTCGTTCCACTGGCAGGTTCCCTGAGGACCCCCACTTTGTGTGGGTGACTCTGGAAAAGCCAGCCCAGAGCAGGGGGTCTGGACCAGGTTCTCCGGGGGAGAGCACGCGAGGGTCAGATGATCTCTTAAACCTGCTCTGAGGGTGGGGGCGCTCACGTTGACCCGCCCTTGAAGAGTGCTTTCTGGGTTTCTTGGCCTCCTCGGTGGGACAGGGTGTCATGTCAATAGCAGGGGAGGGTCAAGAAAGAGGAGGTGGCATTGGCTGGAGTATGGAGGCAGGGGGACCTCAGTCAGGAAGTGGCTCTGTCCAGGAGTGAGGGCTGGGCTTGGTGAGTTTGGGAAATGTGGGGGCCCCAACCAGACTGGCAAGAAGGGAAAACCCTCCAAAAGCAGCAGGCCTGGACCCCAGATGTGAGCCCTTGAATCGCCTCCCCTCTGGCTTTCCCCTCTGACCTCTGCCACACTCAGGATGGACCCAGGGCAAGGGTCCCCGTGGCCGCTGCCACACCCACTGGACCTGGGGCCGGGGGAAGGATGTTGTCATTGGCCTGTGCAGGCACAGTCAGGTAGGTTTGGGACATTTGAATGAAATGAGGATGTTCAAGGGGAGATGGAGGGACAGAAGCAGACATTTGGTTGTGTGTAGAAACCCTCTGTGTCAGCTCTGGCCCAAGAATGTCCTGGTCCCACAGCCTCCTGGCCCAGAAGCCAGCTTAGGCCCTGCCCCCTGGGGTCTTCACCCTGATCAGGGGGGACCAACAGGGCCTGGGACAACAGGGTCCTCCCGCGAAGGGCCTGCTGTCCAGGGGGCTGCTGGCCACTTGAATCCCAGACATGCAGCACAGCCACCCAGCGCTGCCCAGAGGTGCAGACACAGGAGTGCGGGCCGGGGACCGCCCTGGGTGGGCCTCAGACAACATTGTTGGAAACGCTCCCAAGCTGTGCCTTGTGTCTAAAGATGCAGAAGCCAGGGTTCTGTTAATCTGGAAAGCTGGACAAAACACACAGCTAGGCCCAGAGAGAGGACAACAGTAGCCAGGACAGCAAGTTTATTCACTCAGCTCAAGACACGTGTATGAAGAAGAGAGGGCAATCAGCAGCTGGGGTGCAGGGGTCGAGACCAGGCAGGGGCCTCAGTAAGGCTGTGGGAGAAAGGCCAGGAGCCATGTCTGTCAGAAACAGCCTGGGACCCCCAGTAATGGGGAGCATCATCTCAGCTTCATCGGGGCCTGATGTGGAGGCTGCAGACAGGCTCAGCCGGTTGTTGGGGTCTGAGGGTAGCGAGCGTTCATGCTGAGACACGTCCCAGTGCATGTGCTGGGTTAAATCCTGAAGGCAGTGTGAGAGAGTGGGGGCTGGCCTGGGGGATGTGCTCACTCAGCAGCAGGACTTCTGGGCCGAGGCAGGGATGCAGCAGGCTGGGCGGGAGCACAGGGGGCGGCAGAGCAGGGACATGCAGGAGGATGGGCGGCAGCAGCTGGGCTGGCAGGAGGAGGTGGGGCCACAGCAGGAGGAGGTGGGCACACAGCAGGCAGGCCTGCACACGGGGCGGCAGATGAGGGACACACAGGAGGAGGGTCTGCAGCAGGATGAGGTGCAGGGGGTGGGCTGGCAGCATGAGGGGGCCCCAGAGCAGACGGGCACACAGCACAGGGGCTTGCAGCAGACAGGTGTGCAGCAGACGGGTGTGCAGCAGACGGGTGTGCAGCAGGCCGGCTGGCAGGGGGAGGAGGTGCAGCAGGAAGGCTGGCAGCTAGACTGCTGGCAGCATGAGAGTGTGCAGGAGCTGGTGCAGGCTGATTGGCAAGGGCTGGATCCACAGGTCACCTGGCAGCAAGGGCTGGACATGCAGCTCACTGGGGTGCAGACAAGGGTCAGGCAGGGGGCTGGGGCACAACAGCTGGGGACACAGCAGGTGGGCTGGCAGCAGCTGGGGACACAGCAGGTGGGTTGGCAGCAGCTGGGGACACAGCAGGTGGGCTGGCAGCAGCTGGGGACACAGCAGGTGGGCTGGCAGCAGCTGGGGACACAGCAGGTGGGCTGGCAGCAGCTGGGGACGCAGCAGGAGGGCTCACAGCAGCTCTCTGGACAGTCGTCCACCTGCCACAGGAGGCCGGTGCAAGAGTCACTGGAGCCGGGCAGGCAGGCGCGGTTGCCATAGCTCAGGTTGCTGGAGCAGAGGGACAGGGCGGATGTGGCCATGGTGGGGCGGTGGGGCTGGAGGCGAGCTGGGAGGAGGGTGTAGGTGTGTGAGTGTGAGTGTGAGTGTGTGAGGTGCCCAGGGCTGTCAGCTTTTATACCCCTCCTCTGTGTGTGTGTTGCCCCAGCAGGAAGCTCACCACGCCCTCCCTTCCTTGTTGCTGTTTGGAGCCTATTCCTGGGGAACCCTCATTAGGGCTGGTTTATTTTCTTAGGAGATGCTGGCCAGCTCGTAAAAGTCCTGCCTGTGCTTGAGGTTGGGTGGCCAGTCCTGACCAAGCCTGCTGAGTGGGCCTGAGAGACCAGGTTGGGTAGAGCTGAGGCAGGTGGACAGAGGGTGGGCTGCTGAGTGCTCATCGCAGGGACCTGGTGATGGGGGAGGGTAACTTGGAATCTGGGTCCCAGGAATGGCTCCTCATGGGAGTGCCTGTCTCTGGGGCATGTGGTCCCCTTTCTCTTGCATTGTCACCGAGTTCCTGTAGATGATGGAGAGGGGGAGGGTTGTGGCCAGTTCTGCCTGTGGTTGGCGCCAGCTGTCCCTGCCTCGGGTTGTGGCCTGATAGACAGGTGCAGCTGGCTTTGTGCTGTTCCTCCTCCAGCCTGCAGCTCAGGCTGGCGGGGTTATGCTGTGGGCAAGGGCGGGGCGGTCAAGACACATGTAGGAAGAGAGAGGGAGAGAGAGATAGAAACATCAATGATGAGAGAGAATCATTGATTGGCTGCTTCCTGCACGCCCCCTACTGAGGACTGAGCCCACAACCTGGGCATGTGCTCTAACCGGGAGTTGAATCGTGACCTCCTGCTTCATAGATTTCTGCTCAACCACTGAGCCACACCAGCTGGGCTCAATGACATTTTAACCAGAATCCTTAGAAAGTATGAAAGCTAGCCCTGACCAGTTTGGCTCAGTGGATAGAGCGTCGGCCTGCTGACTGAAGGGTTGCAGGTTCGATTCCAGTCAAGGGCATGTACCTTGGTTGCGGGCACATCCCCAGTAGGGGGTGTGCAGGAGGCAGCTGATCGATGTTTCTCTCTCTCTCTCATCGATGTTTCTAACTCTCTATCCCTCTCCCTTCCTCTCTGTAAAAAATCAATAAAAATATATTTTTAAAAAAGAAAGTATGAAAGCTATATGTATCATGCAAAATTTGTCATATACAGTAGGCCCTCCAGCAATGATATTTCTCATTATAACGTTGATGAGATGCCGTGGGAACTTAACTCTTGTTTGTCTCAGTGCCTGTGGTTAAGTTGACTTTGTTATTTGTCATTTCACTTAAAACTGCTGAATCTCCCCACAACGCTCAGCGAGGCTGACCGTACATTTGATTTTGTGTCCTGGGGCTGTAACATTTGACCATAGACTTGATGGTTTAAACCGACCGACATGGGTCCCCTCAGACTCTGGAGACCATCTGTGCCGTTTCCTGAGCTGAGACCCCAGGTGTCGCAGCCCCCCCCCGCCCCAGGAGGCTCCAGGGGTGTCTTTCCCGCCGCTTCCAGCTGCTGAGGCTCCGGGCATGTCTGGTCATGATGCCGGCGCTCCGAGCTCTGCCTCTGGTTCTGTGTCCGCCTCCTTGTCTGTGTGAGAAGGAAGTGCAGTCTCTCTCCCTGTGAAGCACATGTGTGAGGCCCCGGGGGCCCACGTGGCTGACCCAGGACTGTCTCCCATCTCGAGATTCTTAACTTAACCAGCAGCCTCTGGTCAGCCTGCAGGGTCCTTCCTCAGAGGTGACACCCACAGGCGTGGAGTTCGGACCAGGCTGTCTTTGGGGACGTTCTTGGCCCACGGCAGCATTCTTTGCAAACACTCCATGTCTCACCTGCCCCACGTGGTCTCTCTCCTGCTCCACCCACCCCTCACGCTCACTGCCTGATTTGGTGTGTCTGACCTTGGCAGGTCACTGTGGGCCCCCACTTTCTCTTCAACAAGATGGGGTCCCAGTGTACCCAGGCCATTGTGTGATTGATTGATTGATTGATTGATTTTTGTTAATCTTCACCCGAGGATATTTATCCATTGATTTTTTTTAAATATATTTTATTGATTTTTTTACAGAGAGGAAGGCAGCTGAAACTAATACAAAATAATATTGAATGTGAACTGTAATTAAAAATAAAATTTTTAATTTTTTTGTTTTGATTTTTTAATCCTCACCTGAGGATTTATCCATTGATTTTTGTTTTGTTTTTTAGAGAGAGTGGAAGAGAGGGGGAAAGATAGAGAGAAGCATTGATGTGAGAAAGACACATTGATTGGTTGCTTCCTGCACGCATCCTGACCAGGGCCAGGGATTGAACCTGCCACCGAGGTGTGTGCCCTTGACCGGAATGGAACCCGGGACTATTCAATCCACAGGCCGATGCTCTATCCACTGAGCCAAACCGGCGAGGGGCATGGGGGTTTAAACACGTTCAGTGCTTGATGCTTACTGGGTGCTTCACAAGGCCCCTGGCCTTCCTGTGCTTTCACTGGCCACATGGCAGCATCGCGCTTAGCGGGGCAACTCCGATTGCCGTTAGAAGGACCGGGATGCATCCTGCTGCTGGGCCAGCAGGTGGGTTTGACCAGAACAGGCACATCAGGGGGCGAGGCTTCAGGTCCAGTGGCGAGTTCACACTACCCGCCCTACAGTAAGATTCGAAGCACTGACTTCCTGGGCTTCTAGAGCATTCTGATGGAGCAGGAGGCCTTGTCCATCCGCCCAGACACGTCTTTCCCAGGCAGCCGCCTGCTGAAATGAGCTCCCAGGCTGCTGCTTGCGAGGTAGGTAGCTTTGGGTGGAAGGAGGTAGGTGGCTTTGGGTGGAAGGAGCACCCCAGGCGGTCTGTCCTCTCTGCTTCTCTTGCTCAGACTCCCCTCCATCCTAGCTGTTCCTGCTCGGAACTTCCAGTGAGGGCAGGACCACAGGACAGACAAAGGCTCTGCCCAGCCAAGCGCAGTGGGAGCCCGCAGGGCCGCTCATCTCTGCTTGCGCTCCCTTTGCTCATGCTGTGCTGTGATGATGGGGGACCCTGGGTGGCAGTTTCTCCCAAACCTTTCAGATTCGCCATCATCTTTCTCCCGGATCGGCATCTCCTACTGGACAAAGGCTCATTTTCTTCCCAAAATGCATTCTAGAGAAGAATGTGCACACGCCCCTGGGAGCCCCCAAACTCCGGCTCTGCTGGGAGGTCTCACCCTAGAGCCTGGCAGCGGCAGCCTTGGGGCGCTGAGAGCTGGGACCCGGCCTGTCTGGGCTCCCCAGAGTCGTCTAGCAAGCAGGGGAGCAAAGACCAATGGGAAGCACCTCGGGCTCATGGCAGGACCGGATGTGTGTGTGAGGGGCGGGGGAGTGGGGGCAGAGTCCAGAGGGCTGGGCGGGGGTCCCCCTCTGAGGCAGGGGTAGGTGGACTGGGAGAGGTGAGCGTGGAGGAAGTTCCTGTCTGAAGGTGTAAGTGTCCAGAGTCTGGGAGAGGCCCTGGGGGTGTGTCAGGAGAAAGAGCCAAGTCCCCATACCCTAAGGAAGTGGGCGGGTGATGAGCACAGGACCGGCAGAGAGTGAAGGGGCAGGAGGGACACCTCCCGGGGCTGAGGGCCAAACTCTGCAGGGACAGGGCCCCAGGAGAAGGGACAAGAGTGAGGCTGGTCTTGGCAGTTGTTGGCAGGGGCAGCGGCGCCGTGTGCGAGGGGAAGGGAAGGGTGTGTGGTGCAGGGGTGAGTAGGGGAGAAATGGGGCAGCCCACTGCAGGGGTGCAGGCAGCACCAAGCAGGAGGGAGGACAGCTGGCTTTATTTATCATTGTTATGTGGGAGGAGACTTCGGGATCTGTGTGATCCCAGCAGAATGCTCCAGAGAGGGGCGGGTTTAGCAGCAAGAGGAGGAAGGTGGGGCTGGAGGGCTTGGGAGGCAGGTCACAGTCTTGCCTAACCCCAATCCTCCAGGCTTGGCAGAGCGGCTGCTGCATCTCCGTGGGGGAGACACTGAACCCCATGTCTTGCCAGGCCCTTCTGCAGGGAGCCTCCCCCTAAGGGGGCTTCTGGGGGAGATGCCCAGGGCAGTGTGGTGACTGTGCCAGGACTGGCCACTGCCAAGTGCCTGAGGACTGACCGCCGGGTGGGCTCCTGGGAAGGGGGCTGCCCACACCGAGGCCACCATTCCTGGCCGGGCCCAGGTCCTGAGGGATGGGAGCCAGGGGCCAGGCCAGCACAGGCAGGGCCAGAGTAGGCGCCTGCAGCTGGGGTCTGGCAGGGCAGTGAGGGCAGGAGCCCGGCCTCTGTGGGGACTGGCTGGCAATTCGAACAGAAATGGCCAAAAGAGATCCAAGTGCCATCAAGGTTAAATGCAGGTGAGTTTATTAGGTTTTCCAAGCAGCTTCTGAGGCGGTGAGACCACTGAGGCTTGCACTGTGGACAGGGACCCCATCCTGAGCCCTGGGGCCCCAGGCGGAGTGTGGCAGTGGGCCTGGGCCATCCTCCTGGGCTGAGAGGAGGAAGGGCTATCCATGCACCTCAGGAGTTCCTAAGTTCCCCATAGTGCTGGAATGGCCCTGGGGGGGCGGGGGGAGTCATGCCTGCTCAGCAGCAGGACTTCTGGGCCGAGGTGGGGACACAGCAGGCTGGGCGGGAGCACACAGGGCGGCAGAGCAGGGCCATGCAGGAGGACTGGCGGCAGCAGCTGGGCTGGCAGGAGGAGGTGGGGCCACAGCAGGAGGAGACACAGCAGGCAGGCCTGCACACGGGCCGGCAGATGACAGACATGCAAGAGGAGGGTCTGCAGCAGGATGAGAGGCAGGGGGTGGGCTGGCAGCACGAGGGGGCTGGGCAGGAGGAGGCCCCAGAGCAGACGGGCACACAGCAGGCCTGCTGGCAGGGGGAGGAGGTGCAGCAGGAGGGCTGGCAGCTAGACTGCTGGCAGCATGAGGGTGTGCATGAGCTGGTGCAGGCTGATTGGCAGGGGCTGGGCCCACAGGTCACCTGGCAGCAGGGGCTAGACATGCAGCTCACTGGGGTACAGATGAGGGTCTGGGTGGGGACCAGGGCACAGCAGCTGGGGACACAGCAGGTGGGCTGGCAGCAGCTGGGGACACAGCAGGTGGGTTGGCAGCAGCTGGGGACACAGCAGGTGGGCTGGCAGCAGCTGGGGGCGCAGCAGGAGGGCTCACAGCAGCTCTCTGGACAGTCGTCCACCTGCCAGGAGGAGTCGGTGCAGGAGTCACTGGAACGGGGCAGGCAGACGCGGCTGTCGTAGCTCAGGTCGCTGGAGCAGATGGAGAGGGTGGATGCGGCCATGGTGGGGCAGAGTCTGGAGGAGGGTGTGAGTGTGTGAGTGTGAGGGAGTGGTGGTGAGGTTGTGTGAGCTGCTCAGGGTAGTCGGGCTTTTATATGGCTCAGCGGTGTATGTTGTCCCGTCACGAGGGCACAGAAGAGCTGTGCTTCCTTGTTGCTGGAGCAGGTCCCTGAGGACTCTTGTCATAGACCCATGACTGCTCAGCTCATTAAACCCCTGAGAGGTTGGAGGCCAGGGGCCCACAGAGCTGGGATGCAGGGGAGGCCTCACCACTGGGGCTGACCTGGGCATGGACAGGGTGTTCCCCACAGCCCCCCTCTGAGCAGCTTTCTGGGGCTTACTATGATTTCTCCTATTTCTCAGCACTCAGTTGAATCATAAGCATGTTTTGTTCTTTTTTATATCCTGTTTATTTAGGGGTGTAATTCTCTCCTGCAGCCACAGCAATGAATGGTTTGGGAGCTGTGTTGACTTTTATTGTATCAGCAAACACTTCAATAATAGCTCTGGCTATGCCAGCATCTATTCTGAGCAACTTAATAAATATTAACTCCACAACCCTCACAACAGCCTTGTGAGATAGGAGCTGTTGTTATTTCCACTTTACAGATGGGGAAACTGAGGCACAGATAAGAACTTGCACGAAAGCCACACTAGCAAGCAGAAGAGCCTGGATCGGAACCCAGCGGCCTGTGTCCTTAGCTATAAACTCCGCTCCCCAGAGAACAGAGAGACAGGGAAAGTCACAAGAAATCTGGATTCTGTGGGAGGGGTGGGGGGCGGGATGAAGTTGGATTAGAACTGTGGTGTGAGGTTTATGTGGAAATGTACCGCGGGTGCCCGGAGAGCAGGGGCTAGTTCTGAGAAAGGAGCCTCTTCGATGGAATTTGAGGAAATGAGCATTAATTTACCTGCAGGGAGGAATGTGGACAATATGACGGTGAGGGGAAGCCACCGCCCAGCGGGGGTGTCTAGGAGGCTGGGAAGTTTCCTTTCGGGAGGCAAGTGGTTTTTAAAGTCGAGAACAGAGACATCTTGTCAACTGTAATCGAAAAATAAAATAAAATAAAAAGAACAAAGACATTCTACAGCCTTCTGTGTTGAGAACGCTGCGGCCCACGGCTAGGACGGGGCTGAGAGTAAGGGGGGCTGCTTGGCGGAACCCAGAGTCAGGGGGAGCCTGATGCCCACAGGCAGTGGGAGACATGAGGGCTGACGAGTGGACTGGCCCCTCTGAAGTGAAAAGCCGGGACTGGCAGGGTGGCCAGTGACGGTGGCATGAATATTCCCGCCACGGCTGACTTCAAGCCAATAGTGGTTTAACAACTGGCTTGCAGACGTCCTGACGGTTGCACATCTGGTTCTTATAAACCAATGAGCTGGCACGCCTGGGGGGCCAGGGACTTGGAGATGAAAGGGGTCTCAGATGTGGGGGCCCTGGCACCCTAAGGGATTCTGAGCCAAGTTGGGGTAAGGCCCCTGGAGTGTGGCCTTAGCATAATGTCCTCAAGGTCCATGTGTGTTGTAGCGTGAATCAGACGTTCTTGTATTTTCATGGTTGAATTATATTCCACCGTGTGGACATCCCCGTCGTGTTTATCCAATCCGCCGTGATGGACACCGGGTTGTGTGCACTTCTTGGCTACTGAGAGTAAGGTTGCAGGAAGAGTTGAGTCCCCTTTCTCAGTTCTTGTGTGTATTAACTTAGGAGAGGAATTTCTGGGTCGTATGGTAATTCTGGTTCCTTTCTCTGGTTCCTTTGTCTGGTTCCTCTCAACATGTCCTCTCCCGTGAGTGTTCTGGTTTCCATTGCATGGACCTCGGCATTTCTCTTTATTCTCATGTATGTTGTGCTTTGTGACTCAGAGGTAAGTGTTTTTCTCATTCCCTGGAAACAATCTACATTCTCGAATGCTGCCTTTCCCCGGGTCTCCCTGGCCTGTTCCTCTGGAATGTCAATTAATTGAATAGTGAACCTTTTCTATCTTCCAAGTCTCTTAGCCACTTTTTAATTTTTAAAAAATACCTTGTTTTTGTATAATTTTCCAGGTCAGCATTCTAATTCATGCAAACTCCATGCAGCCTGTCTAATTGTCCATCTCACCCAGGTAGTGGGCTTTATTTCAATGACTTTACATATTTTACCTTGAGAAGTTGTATTGGATTCTCTCCAATATATCTTTCTAGAGCAGTGGTTCTCAACTTTCTGGCCCTTTAAATACAGTTCCTCGTGTTGTGACCCAACCATAAAATTATTTTCGTTGCTACTTCATAACTGTAATGTTGCTACTGTTATGAATCGTCATGTAAATATCTGATATGCAGGATGGTCTTAGGCGACCCCTGTGAAAGGGTCGCTCGACCGCCAAAGGGGTCGCGACTCACAGGTTGAGAACTGCTGGTCTAGAGGGTATCTTGTCCCTTTCTTATGTGTCCCATTCTATTTTTTTTTAAATATTTCTTTATTGGTTTCAGAGAGGAAGGGAGAAGGAGAGAGAGATAGAAACATCAATGATGAGAGAGAATCATTGATCGGCTGCCTCCTGCACGCACCCCACTGGAGATTGAGCCTGCAACCCAGGCATGTGCCCTTGGCCAGAATCGAACCTGGGACCCTTCAGTCCGCAGGCTGACACTCTATCCACTGAGCCAAGCCGGCTAGGGCTCCCATTCTATTTTTTATTCATAAGCACCCGATTTACAATTCTGTGGTCAAGATTCCCACCTCAAGGAGTCCTTAGAACATCTGTGTTCTTATGACCCTTGGCCTGTGTGTGTACATGCTCTCATGTGTTTTGTGTTTGGGGCTGTGGGCTCACACGTGAGGTTCTTGCATGATGTATGTGGACTCTGAAAAGCTCAGATTGAAGGTGTGCATGCCTCTAGAAAACGCGTGCCAGGATCTATAAATGGTGTCTGACTGAGCATGACAATCTCCTGAGTCAAGCACTGGTAACGTGTCCTTGTTCCGGACACATTCTTAGCTGTGTCAGGTGGGGACACTGAGGTTACAGAGAGGCATATTGTGCCCCAGGTGGCTATGTAGATGGCAGAGCTGCAATTCACACCCAGCTCCACCTGGCAGCACAGCACTGAGCCCCTGGCGAGGCAGATGCCAGCCTCCATGAGGGAAAGGGGAAGGAGAAGGCCGTGAGTCCAACAGTGTGCGAGACACCACTGCTAGACTACAGGCTGAGAGAAGGCCAGGATGACAGGCCATGCAGGAGGGCGGGCTCCTCTGTTCTGCTTCAGCTGAACGTTCACCCTGACCTGTGTGGTCACTGAGAGCCACCTCGCCCCCCACTGGACTGGGCTGGGCTGGGCTCTGCCGTCCCAGCTCACGGCTGTCTGCCCTGGGCCAGTGCAGAGGTGCGTGGGAAATGTGGTCAGACAGGAGGGCCTGGTGTCCTGCTCTTTCTCGTTTCGGAAACCATGGCATCCCCAGCCAGCTGATGGCAGAGGCCAGCATACCAGCATGCTGCTCGGGGAGCTGGGCGAGGAGCCCATCGGGGGTGTTTGGAGAATGCACCACTTCTCTGCCGAGAGCCTGTCCGTGGGAGAAGTGAGCTGCTGGGGAGTGGAGAGGGTCATGGCTGGGCTGTCACCACACCCTGTGCTATCTCAGTGTCCATCTCCCGGTGGCGGCCCTGCCCCTGAGTGCTCTTTCACAGGTGTGGCCCAGGGCAGAGGGCATGCCAGCCGCCTGCAGGAAGGACAGGGGTGGGCACCAGGCTCTGGCTACACTCACCATCCTCAGGAGGATGGGCCAGCCCAGCCCTTCATCCCAGACCCTCTTTCTGGAGGATGCACCACCCCTTCTCGCCCCAGGGGAGGGTGCTAACGGCGATTTCCAAGGAGAGAATGCCAGATTAGTCAGTGTCTTAACCAGCCATCGGGTGGTTCCTGGCTCAGTCGTCCAGTAGGAGCCATGCAAAGACCGTGGTCATTAATCAGAGACCAGTGATGGTGCCTGGAAAGGGTGTTCCCCTGCAGGGCACAGCTCGGCTGTCTGACCAGGGAGAGGCTGGTGTGCCGGCCACAGCATCAGCAGCAAACAGGGGTGCAGCAGAAGACAGGTAGGCAGGCCATGGTGACACCAGAGGAGGTCTCGCACATGGCGGGCTGGCAGCAGTCCGGGCTGCAGGCAGGCTGGCAGGAGGCAGCCGACCCATCCGCGGGCCAGCACAGCAGGCAAGGGAGGGGAAAGCAGCAGGAGCTGCCGCAGCCCATGAGAGAGCAGCAGGCAGGGACAGGGACGGCAGATGGTTAGACCTGGGAGCAGCTAGCGTGGCACATGGTGGTGGTGGTGGTGGTGGGGGGTGAGGGGGCTGGTCTGGAGGCTCCTCCCCCAGGGTGGCCTTTATTACCCAGGCCTTGTGTCTTGGCAACATGTCCACTGTTTGCTGTTATTGCTGATGTCACGTCCTTGTTTCTGTTTTGGGTGCCCCATGAAGCCAGTCCAATAAAGAAAGCCCATGTGTAGAGGGCAGTCTCTGAGCTGGAGTGTCCAGTGCCAGGGTGGGGTTTTATTTTCTAAACTAGAGGCCCGGTGCATGAAATTCGTGCATGGGTGTGGTCCCTAGGCCTGGCCAGCTATCGAAGCGTGAGCATCTGGTGTAAAAGGGCAGGTCCCAGCTGATCTCTGGGCCCTAGGAAGCACTTGGGCCCCCAAACCCCCGTGTACCCCACCTCCCAGCTCCCTCAGCACCTGGGAGTCCTCGCCGCCACTGCGGGGCGATTGGGCCCTGCTCGCATCCGCCTTGGCCTGGCGCCACCCGCTCACCTACTCCACCATCCCGCCATGGTCCCTCTCTCATCAGGGCCGGCAGTGCCTCCATTGTCGCCTGCTGCCAGCGCTGCATCACCGATGCCCGCCATGTTCCATGCCCCCAGCTCCCAGTGGTCAGCACATGTCATAGTGAGCGGTTGAACTCTTGGTCAAGGGGACAATTCGCATATTAGGCTTTTATTATATAGGACTAGAGGCCCGATGCACGAAATTCATGCAAGAGTAGGCCTTTCTTCCCCCGGCTGCCGGCACCAGCTTCCCTCTGGCACCCGGCTTCATCCGGAAGGTCATCTGAAAGGACATCTGGTCTAATTAGCATATTACACTTTTATTATTGTAGATAAGTCCACCTGGGACTTGGAGAGCAAGGCTTCCTGCTGCTCCTCCCTGGGACGGCCAGGCTCCACTCTGTACATGGCAGGGTTTGTGTGAGAGTTTCCTGCCCTCCCTGTTGTAGCAATTCTATTTATTTATTTATTTTTATTGTTGAGAGTATTACAGATGTCCCCCTTGCCCCCTCCCATTGCTCCCCTTTACCCAGTTCCTGCCCCACCCCAGGCCTTCACCACCCTACTGTCTGTGTCCATAGGTAAGATCTTTTTTTTTTTTT